ATAAGGCACTGTTCTTATTTCATTATTACTTCATTAGTCCGCATCAGCTTATTATCAATATTATCATGTATCACTTATCATTTAGTAAATCTGCTACAATGGCATTCTAGAGACAATACTCTATCAGTTAGTAAAGCACCAGTTTAGCTGGGGGTCCAGTCAGGCCGCAGTAAAAGTCATATGAGGACACGGTGAACTTTTGTTGGCCGGAAATGGACACTCTCACACAACTACACATTCTACACACTATTGGTTATGTTCCCAGGAAAGCCTGACTGAAAACATCTGGAACATGTTGTTGTTCTTAGCCATAGAAGGACATAGAAGTGAGAACTGACTGATACCGATCATGTGACTTGACGTCATCATTGTAATAAAACCCTTGTGAAGAAACTGTTCGGGGGAGATCAGCGCTTAGAGCCTTGTACTGCTCATCTTCCCCATATGTACATATGTATAATAAAATCACTATTCTGACATCCACTGAGACCATGCAGCCGTTTGTCTTTTCCTCAAATTCGAACCTTAACAGGTGGAGGTTTTGTCTTGCTTTGTTTTGTTTTTGCAAGGACAGAAGGATGACAGAGACTAAAGGGGGAGGCTGTAGCTTCACATAAGTATGAACTGCAGACTTAACCCTTTGGTTGCTAATTTTGAGTTACTGATGTTTGCATTAGGAAAATTGTGTTTTAGTAGCTGTATTTCGATTAATGTATCATTATAAAATGGTTGGGAATGTTAAATGCTAAAGTGAGGAAAAGGTTTGATTCCACTCATGACTGAGCATGTTATTATTAAAAAAACAAAACAAAACAAACCCTCTACCGAGGTCTATGAATAACAGTGTGTGAATTTGTGTGTGAATGGGTGGATGACTGGATATGTAAAGCGCTTTGGGGTCCTTAGGGACTAGTAAAGCGCTATATAAATACAGGCCATTTACCATTCTTAACAGGGGAATGATAGACTTGTCACATTCAAAATAGGAGATATGTAATGATAAACACTGGTCCCCGCCTTTTGGGTGCTTTCTTGAAATAGTCAGCAATTTAAAAGTAAGATAGAACCGACAGGGGCATGTGCTGAGGGGTGGTGCTGCACAAGAACAAGAGCAAGATAAAGAAAAACATTCTGTTTAGCTTTGAGAAGTTTAAATTAAAATGTACCATTACACTCAGAGGATCAATATGAAGTTCGATATATGCTAATTTTGAATGAAGTACATGATTGGTGACTGTTCTGTCCTGAGCTTTTGTTTTTACAGCACCCGCTTGACCACACCAACAGTTTCTCGCCACCGAAAAGGGGTACTTGCAAAGAATAGAGAATGGGGAGGAATATCATCAAAACTGGGAAAGGTAAGCCCCAAAGGGGGTGATAACGCCATAACTTTCACTTATGGTCAAATTCTCAAAATTTGACCCCGAACTTGAAAAATTCTTCAAACATTTAGAGACAAAGTGGAGGTTTAGATAAACATAATGTCACAAACCACATAAGGATGGAGCACTTGAATCGATAAGATGGTGAATTGACACGCAGTAAAATGTTGATCATGTTGATTATGTTTATTCCAGTGTGCAGAGCAAGGTTATTATTATTAAAGACAACAAATGAAATAACGAAAACTAGAAGTGGAAAAACATTTGCGTTAACGGAAATAAAATCAAAACAAAAAAGGAAAACTGACTAAAACTGTAATGAATGTTCACAAAACTAACTAAAATTAACTGGATTTATAGCAAAATGTGTTTAGTTTCATTGATGTGTGCGTGCCCTGCAATAGTAAAGTCAAGGCAGTACGTTAGTCGAGTCGTCTGTGTTGCTGCTCCGTCCACGCGCAGAATCATGTCAGGAAAAGTCGGGAGAAAGCGCCAGAGTCCAATTTAGGATTACTTTGAATATGACTGTTTTTTAGATATAGCAAGAGTCTTGTAGTGGAAAGAGACACAATGTCCTCCTGAGGCCCAGGGAAGAAAAAAAAGGGAAAGTATTTTTGATTTTTTTCTTTTTTCTTTTCAAGTGTTGGGACGGTAAAAAACACATTATAACAAAATTGTTTTAACTAATTTTATTTAAATTTTACAACATGTGCACTACAGTGCACAAGGGGAGTTCATTGATCACGAATGTGAAACTAACAACATTCAAGAGCTATTTAAGAAAATTAAAAGCTCCACTGAAATTTTTGTAAGCAGGATATTAAAACTTATTTATATAACAATATCATAAAAATGTAGATCTTTTCGCACATTGAGATCACTGATAACTTTTAGCAACGACGTGATCTTGTAGAAACAATTAGGTGTCATGGATTCAGCTATAAATGCGACTCTTATTTTTTACTTTACTGGAAAACATTTCTGCATTTTACCCATATTTTATTTTTAACTCAAAATCAAAAATTCCAGATTCTCCTACATGTTGGTTTTGGACCAGATAGGACGACAGATTTCAGGTGGCCCTGTGTTTTTCTCTATTACATCTGCCACTGCATCTCGATAATCTTTGTGTGGCTCCTCCTGGGTTCTCACCCTCTCCTATCTGGCTCACATGACTCTCATCTTCTGAAAATCTATGTTTGAATCTCGCTCAATTATTCTGTTAAGAATTCTCTCTGCCTTTGTCAAAGAGTTGTCTACTAGGAAAAAGTGAAATAAATATAAGTACAAAGTCCCGACGTGCACTAGAGTACACATTAATAAACAGTGTTGGGGAGTAACGGAATACATGTACCGCCGTTACGTATTTAAAATACAAAATATGAGTAACTGTATTCCGTTACAGTTACCGTTTAAAAAGGTGGTATTCAGAATACAGTTACTTTGTTGAAATAAATGGATTACACTGCGGTACTTTCCTGTTTCATTTTGTCGCGGGTCAGGACTGTTTGGGTTTTGTTTGACAGCTACGTTCTGTTGTTCCAGGCGGCAGCGTTACGGTTGCCATGGTTACAGGGCGACGCTCTCTCTCTCTCTGCGACTGTGTGTTTCCTGGGTGAGAGAGCGCCTTTTCGTTGTTGTTGTTGTGCTAAGCTAACAGGCAGAATGCTACAAGCATAGCTCTAAAGAATGTAGCATCATGGGCAGTGTAGTCCGTGCTGCAGGGAGAATGGACTGCCATACACGTTATGTGTCTGTGAGCGCGAGGAGGGAGAAAAAGGGGAGTGGAAAGGTACGAGTTGTCATCGAGGAAAAACGGGAGCTGGAAGCATGTAAATATAATAATAACCACTGCAGCCAAGAAGAGAGCCTGACGAGCCCAGTTGTAAGTAAGCTATTAAGACTCGACTGTACACCGTGTTCGTGTTTTCCTCCGAAAACAATAAGTTCCGTTGGAGCAGCCTTTCAACGCCTCTCTCTGTCTCTCGCAAGAAAGTTGACCCACACAACAAAGTAAAGCTATTTTTCGGCTACGAGCCGACAGGGACCCCGCCGTATTAGTCAGAGGTCCCTTTACTACAGTTCGGAGTCGCGGACCTTCAGTAATAGTAATAAATCACACAGCAATAGTACATTCACGTAGTTGTAAAAAGCATGATAATATATTAAGTAATCCAAAGTATTCAGAATACGTTACTGTCATTGAGTAACGTAACGGAATACGTTACAGAATACATTTTGGGGCATGTATTCTGTAATGTAATGGAATACATTTTAAAAGTAACCTTCCCAACACTGTTAATAAATTAGTCATGTTCTCTGTGAAACTAAATAAGCTTAATTCTTAAAAACCCCTCAAATTATTTACTAGATGTTTATTTTTGAAAATTAATAAAAATCTGAGTTTAACAAAACATTTTAAATGTAAATATCAAGCTTACCTTTCTTTCTTCCATAAAATGTGCTTGTGGGCATGCCAGCCATTTTGAAAAGGTGGGAAAAAAACAACAATTGGCAAGGCCACACCCCCACACATGTGATATAATTTTAAAGGTACTGTTGTCCTCTCTAAGAAACATCAGGACTTAGATGAGTGGCAAGTAGAGTATGAGAGCTACAAGCAAAAACTAAATGTGTACTACAGTGCGCAAAAAAAATCAGGGGGTTATGAGGGACATTTATAAAACTAAAAATCCCACAAACCTTGAAGTGCACTTGAAAAGCTCACACAAGAAGGTTAACCTAGCTTACCTTGAAGAGCTCATCAGGGGGAGCACACTCCCCCTCCTTGAAGAGCTCCCCCACTCAACCCGCATCCCCAGAAAACAGCTAACCCCAGATAAGGCAGCGTGATGCATCCCGAGACAACAGGACTGGGACATCTAAATAACTGTGTGAGTCAATCGCCTTCAAAAAGGTTTATCAATTCACTTGAACCAAAATTAGGAGCACCCGGTGCTGCAAGAGTTAATAGTCTCAATACCCAAGGATAAGCAGAAGAGCATGACTGATATGATGGAGCTGGGATTTGGTTACACTTAATTTTTGCAAACACAACTAAAACTATAACTGGCACTAATCAAAACTAAACTGAAAACTAACGATTTTCAGGAAATAAAAACTAGACTAAACTAGCAAAGAATTGGTAAAAACTGATTACAACTGGTAAAAAATTGAAAATCTGGAGTCGAAACTAAATAAAAATAAAAACTAATGAAAATGGCAAAACGATTAAAACCCTGGTGCAGAGATTCGCAAATCTGACCAGGAAACGTTATAAAATGGATTGTCGGAACAGTCAGCGTTAAAGTCACCTTTGACAGTCCAGACTAAGATGGCGTTGAACATCTTCAGGGCGGAAAAGGGTTGGTGTGACCAAAGTGTGGTTTGGCTTGTTGTATGTTTATTTTGAGATCATATGGCTCTGGACGGACCAGTTACCAGGGCATGGAAGGAGGACAGACTCATTAAATGAGGAGAAGGAATTTCCTGGGATTGGAGATCCTCTGGGTGAGTGGTTGACTGAAAGCATGCATAAAATAAAAGTTATCTGTTGTTATTGATTGGTAATAGATTGATAATTGGCCACATTTACAGCTGTATTAACTTGTTGTGGATGTAGTTGACTTCAGGTTTAAGCACTCTAATTAACAGGTTGAAAATAGTGACATTAAAGGAAGAGTATGCAGCGCCACCCTGTCAGACGCCAGTGACGGTGGAGCTCAGTGATGAATCAGGTGAGCTGGATTCATGGCTGATTCAAAACTAGGATTCCCCTGCTGTGGTCAGTGAGGGAAGAAAAGGGGGAAATAAAATTGAAAGAGGCAATTATAAACATTTATGTGTCAAGTTAAACGGGATAAAAGGGGGTGTTTTACTGTTAGTTTAGCATCAGCATTATTATTGCATCAGAATCATATAACAAGCATTGCATTAAACATTTATTCAAGTTTTTGACATTGTACTAACATTTGTGTTCCAGTGATTGTTATAACCTCAGGTTAATCTTCTATTCTTAATCGTATATTCACAGGTGTCAGGATAATCATATGATCTTTCATTGCAGGTGTAACCATGATCATTTTTATACATATTACAGTTTGTTGCTCATTATAGAGTTGCGCTCAAGTTAATAAGGGTTAAAAGCTACAGTCAACGTGATGTTTGGCTGATCTATGGTGTGGAGTGACTTCGAGCATAGAAGGCCGCACGCGCTTACATAACACTGATATCATGGTATTCTTTGTGATCTTTTATTCAATTATATCTTTAAGTTAAGTTTTAAGTAGTGGTAGTTAATTAAACGACATTCTTTTAAGATTATATACTTGAGTCAGAGCATCACACGCAGATCAACTTAACAACCTGGGAGACCTTGTAGCTGCAATATTGTGTCTCCATAAGGGACGGTAGGCGGAAGCAAACACATGATTTTTGGGGGGGCAACTGTTAGGATTAAAAATGGCTAATTTGTTTTTGATGTCTTTTCTTAATATGAGCGGTTTTAGTAATTTTCCGACACACCTTGCAAATGTGCTTATAATGAGTTGTCACTTGGTCTTTTGAAGGTCATAAGCTTCGTTCGGCGTGATGGTCCGGACTGATAAAGTGTAGGAAATGCCTTGAGTGCAAAGGGCATAATGCAAACACGCTTACACACACATAGGATATGATTAGAATAAGTCCCTGGGACATTCTGAATATTCTAAACCAATTCTGAATCACTAGAAGGTCAGTAGATAACAACATTAGATTAATAGGGTTAGGAAGAGAGGTGTTTTGGTTTTCTGTCTCTTACAGAGAAAGGAACAGGCACCAGACGAGGTCACAGAGATACGAGGATCCTTCGCAGCAGAGACAGACACAGTGACTGCCGAGACACCAACTGGGTCCAAGGGTCATGGCGTTTGGGCTCCAGCTAGTCACTCAAAAGGATGGATCCCATAAACACAGCAATAACCATGAAGGGGTTGGCGGAAATCCGGGAACACCAGACCAACGAGGTTCGAGAGGCTCTTGGGCAAAAGGGGGACACGTTCCTGTTCCTTTTTCTGGAGGATACACAGGAGACACAGGACCCGAGGATACACAGATCGTTGTTTGAAATCGGGGCAGAATAATCCCCTGATCTGTGCCACGACTGAAGGGTTGTCTAACCCCTGAGGTTGAAGAAAGAAGAGCAGAGGATCACCCAACTGGACGACACTGGTAGCTGCAGCAATAAAATAAAGGCTAAAAGCTCCTCGGACAGAGGTTCTAGTCTGAGTACGTCTGAAGGGTATAAGGTAGCACCAAATAAAGCTGTGGGAGAACTGGGGAGTGTCATCTGTACCTGCTACTGTTGGAATAATAGTTTTTCTTACATCTGAACTGCGCAAACACAGAGGTCATCTCACATATGGTTCGCCCATCAGGGGGACAAAGGACCTCAGGAGTGAGAAGAGATGAACCCGGCCACACTGGATTACAGGGTGTTGGTGAGCTCATTATTCTAACGAGCTCATCAGGGGGAGTGTTAAATTATAATATTATTTTATGCCATGTTATACCCCTAATAAAGATTGTGAATTATTATGTAGTTTTAGTTTGCATTATTCTCCTGAATTAGAAGAAGCTGATAACTATTGCATTCGTTAAACTGATTTGCATTACATTAGACTGCTGATTTATTGTGGATGAATGATATTGTTTTATGATGTTATAAGAAATACTGTTTGCAGAAAGTCATCGCCTTATTTGTCTGATTAGAAGAGAACAGAATATGCTGGAGTTTTCTGCCCCATCTCAGCAGGAGCAGATAAACGGGGAGCCAAGGTCGTAGCTTAGGCGCCGTGTGAGAGAAAAGCATGTGAATGTTTAGGCTTTTATGATAAGGTGGGGGCACCAGAGGCTATAAGAGTTTGATTAATGCTCCACCATTTTGAGATCTGAGGCTGTCTGCATACAGTGTCCATCTCCCACGCGTGTGACTATTAAAATCATCGTTTGACTTAACCCGGCCGGACCAGTGTTGTTATTGTGGTTTTTTCTCTTGTCTCCATCCCCAATATTTGAACTCGTAACAATGCTTTATTCAACAAAACCTGATTGCAAATGTGCACAACGGAAGGGAGATGTGCACCGCACAAAGCCTCCTGCAAATCTAATGCATTACCAACAGGATGTGTGTGATACACCCTACACCCCCACTCCTCACGTCTCGCTTCCACCACCTGAAAGTTGTCTCCTGTTGTTATTATCTAGCAACACAAACATAGGTAACACTCTCTGGGAAGTCTGCACTAAAAGATCCTGTTTATCACAGTTTAATGTTGCCAAGCAGTCTAATGACCTAGAGCACAGAATATAAACCCTCAAAACTGGCCTTTAACATTACACTTTAATATTACACTAAAATTGAAGAAGTTTCTCGGATGAGAGGTGAAACGTCTTCAAGCAACTTAAAGAAGTCCAGACGCTTTTCTTTCCAAGCACCTTGGAGTGCGATGACCTGGAATACTGAGAACCTTCACTGAGAACCTTCACAGACATTACACTTTAATATATACTTTAATATATACTCAGCAAATAGGCACTTCAATTATATTTCATAACAATAGCAAGCACAGGATAGCATACAAGCTTAGAAAAACGTGCTCGTATGAATGGGTGAATATGGCATGTTGTATAAAGTGCTTTGAGTGGTCCAAAAGAGTAGAAAAGCGCTAAATAAGAATCAGTCCATTTACATATTCTGTCATGTCTTTAACTCAATGATTCTATGATTAATCTGAGTTTTTCTGTCACTCATCCGCTCTTGCTCCACCTGAACCAGCTGACTGCCACTACTTCAGTTCTTTATTTGTTCACGGGTGCAGGGTTGGGGATTTTTTATTTGCAGTCAGTTGTTTTTAGTCTGTTTTGTGCAACTTTTCAACTGTTTTGCTTCCAGCACAGCTCTCTTCTCTGGTCCCTGCCACTTCCTGATATAGGTGAAAGCCTGATTATCCAATCAGCCCAATCTGCCCTGCCCGCCTCCCTAGCACTACCACCTGTACCTACTTCACAACTGCACCTACTACTGCAAGAAGTCTTCAAGTTCTTGCAGGTAAAGATGGTTCTGCAGAGATGGCTGTAGATAGGTAGGTCAGTCACCAGGTCATCTACTAATAGAAAAGTTGGTGGCTTGATCCTCAGTTGCTACAGTCTACAAGATACTGAACCCCAAGTTGCTCTCTTGCGTTCACTGGATTATAAATGCAAGTTCATTTTAATAGAAAGCACTTAGGTAGAAAAGCATTATGACTGGCTGTGAAAGGGTGAATAAGACATGTTGTATACAACCAATCGAAAGCTCAAGTACAGTAGAAAAGCGCTATATAAAGCTAAAGTCAAATTTATTTATACAGCACATTTAAAACAACAACTGTTGACTGAAGTGCTGTACATTTAAAACAATCAAAAGAGAAAAAAACATAAGAAGACATGACAAAATTTAAGAAAAGAAGCATAAAATGAGAAAGTCTGAGTAATAAAAACGACAAATGTAGTACAAACTCATTCTGATTTAAAAGCTAAGGAATTAAAGTGGGTTTTCAAACAGGTTGTGAAAGTGTTTAATGTTGGGGAGGTCCTGATTTGAAGGAGCAGTCACAGCAAAGGTCCGATTTCCTCTGTGCTTGAATCTGGACCTCAGGACAGCCAGGAGCAATTGATCTGCAGACCTCATTGATCATGCAAGAGTGTTTCCATTCAAAAGAGCAGAAAGGTATGAGGGTGCTAACCTGCGCAACACCTTAAAATGAATAACAAAAGCTTAAAATCAATTGGAAAACTAACTGGCAGCCAGTGTAAGGATGCCAGTATGGGGGATATGTGGTGTCACTTGTGTTGGCCAGTTAGTAACCATGCTGCAGAATTTTGGACAAGCTGCAGTTGACTATGATGACAGACTGACACCTGAGTAAAGATTATTACAAAATTGAGGCGAGATAAAATGAAGGCATGGATAGCTGTCTCAAAGTCTCTGAAACAGTGAGTTTCAGAGACACAATGAGTTTCTTCCCATGTTACCAGATGCGTGTGTAACCCTGGTTAACATAGCTAACAACAAATAAAAGCCTGTTAGTAAAAACAGTCATAAGAAATATATTACAGGTGATAAATAGTCAATAAATAGATCATAATGGTTAGAAAATTCATTAAAAACATCAGCAATGATATAATTCACGTTATAGGATTTCATTTGTGTTTAAAAACATGTTAAAAGGGTACAGAACTTGCTAATTCATGGTGTTTTATGTTCATTCAGGTAAAATGGCTAAAATATGTGTTGAGACTCTTATTGTGAAAGGGCACGCTGCAGCGTGACTCCTGTGATAGCCACACCCAGTCGGGTTGTTCCTTCTTTTTGATGCTAGAGAGGGAGAAATGCAGACAGTCCTTGCAGAGCTGCTGCTTAAATGAGTGAAAAAATAGTAAAAATAAGCCAAAAACTACTAAAGCATTGCTCTGGGAATGATGTTTCCACGTCTGCCTTGTGAGTTGTGACCCAACGACTGGCAATTGATTTCATGCAAAAAGTGTGTATTTTTGCTATTTCTCATGGAAGCCGTACTTATTTTTATTTAACGTGTTCGCTTAACACCGCACTTGGCCTTTGACGGTTCACGATATGGTCACCCATTTAGCAATAACTGAAGGACTTCGTATACTACCCTGTGTTATTCGATGTGCACTTTTTTGTGGCCATTAAGGTTTGGATCGGGAAATGCCGAGCTAGAATCGGAGTTTGATTCGCTGAGCGAGAAACAAGATGGCGAGCCACCCACGGACCCATTGAACTGTACCAGCAGGAAAAGGAAAACGCCCCCTGCTGGACGTTGAGCTCTTTCGCTGAAAAACTGGTAGGATTAATCCATACACCTCTGCAAAAGAACAGCGGACTTTCAAAGCACTGGATAATCATTCGGAGTAATTCCAGGATTAATAGTTAAAGGACACAAAGACAACTTTCTTTTGTTTTTGTTTGTTTAAGGGATTTATTCAGCCTTTTGCTGAATCGTTTTCAGTTTTACATTTATTTATTTATTTTTGTAATTTATTTTGGTCAACCTTACATTTTAATGCTGTAATGGTGTTAATGGAAATGTAAATAATTTTGTTAGGTTAAAACAAAAGTAAGAACTGGTTGAAATTTAAAGGTGAACCTGACCAAGATTAAATTAAATCTTGGGCCTAAAGAACTGAACTTGATTTAGAATAACACAGTGTTAATGCAAATAGATCAAAGGATAACTTGAACTTGGAACTTGAAATAAATAAAACAATAACCTAGGTTGAAAATAACATCCTTCTAAAGCCAAATAAAAGGTTTTGAGATAAATAGGATGAACTAACAGAACATACTGAACTAAAAGGGGGGAAAGAAAACCTTGTTTTCTTAAATGTGTGATGTTGAATGTTTTATGTAATGTGTCTATAACTGTCTATTCTCTGTCCTCACAAAATAATAAGCCGGCAATTTAAACGTATTTACTGGTCTGTGGTCTTTATTACATGCTACGCTCATTACTGCTCTAGTAGTCGAACCTAACTGGTCCTAGTATACTGTAATGACTCCAGAAGTGTTACAGAAGTGGCGAGCCAGCCAGGAGTAGTAATTGACCCCTCAAGCTTTTTTTCCTGACCCAGACCTCAAATATAGGCCAAGTCCGGCAAAATGGAAATAGTTGACAGAGAGAATGTTAAAATCCCAAACTCAGTTATTGTTATTGGGATTACAGGCACAGACGCTGATGAAGCTTTAAAAGACTTAAGCAGATATGGTCGAACAGCGAGAACCCTTAAGATAGATGACCCTAAGTCTTCTTACCACAAAAATGCTATTGTAGAGTATGAGAGTGGATCTGCTCTGTCGACACTTGAACCCTTACTACCCTACACACTTGAATGTCCGAATGAAGTCACTTATCAGATATGAGCCCTGTCACCTGAGTACATCGCAGCTGTTACCAACGTCGTCACCAACAGTTTTTTCAATGAACT